CAATCTCTGCTATGAGTCCTGACAGTGGTGATCTCATGGGTGTGCCTCTGATTTGTTGGTAGATTTGTCCATCAAACTGAAAACAGATAGTGAGGCAGAGGTTGATGAGGTCCCTGATTCTGGGTATTTCGATCTGGGTGTATTTTGTTAGGTTGGGTGTGTTGTGTAGTACTGCTGCTATGGATTCTTTCGCTAGTTCTGGGTTTATGGATGTATAAACAGTTCAACCCTGAGCTACACATATTCGCCTCTATTGGTTTGGGCTACTTGCCTCGTGCAGGAAATATGTGGCACGAGGGACAATGCTTTCTTGCCTGGGTGTTGGTAAGACCTGTGGTGGAATCCATAAGTTGCCTGGAATGGTGACATACCGATCGATGAGCGTGCTGCATTGTGGAAGCAAATTCAGCAAGAGATATGAGATCAGTCCAGTTGTATTGCTGTTAGGAAACAAAGCATCTTAAATACTGCTGAAATAGTTGGTTAACTTTCTCAGCTTCTCCGTCTGCCTCCGGACGGTGTGAGGAAGACAAATAAATTTTAATATTTAATAACTGCAAGAGGGCCCTCCAAAATACGGAAGTGAATTGACTTCCTGAGTCTGTCACGACATGATTGACCAATCCTCTATATCTAAAGATGTGGCCTAAAAAGAGTTGAGCTGTTTCCTGGACCATTGGGAGGGTGTTGCAAGGATTAAAATGGGCCAATTTGGTAAATAAATCCACTACTACCAGTATGGTAGTATATTTCCATACTGGAGGAAGATCAGTGATGAAATCTAGAAAAACAGTGTCCCATGGCTGACAAGGAGTTTCCAGCAGTTACAACAGCCCAACTGGCTTACCAGGGACTGAGTTTGCTCTATGACAGACATAGCAAGAGGAAACATAATCCTTAATGTTTGAGTGGATGCATGGCCAGCAAAACTCTCTGAAGGCTCTTTGATGGGTTTTAAATACCCACAAGTGCCCAGTTGTTATGGCACAGCTGTAGTATTTCCTCCCTTAGAGGAAGAGGAACATACAAACATCCACTGTGGAACAGATGCCCTCCCTCCACTGTGAAAGGTGAAACGGAACTCTGCTGGGCTCCCTGGAGGTCATCCATCCAGGCCCTGGCATATGCATCCTGCTGCTGGTATGTCCTAATCTGA